AACCATATTAATTAACTTTTTGAATTCCGGCTCTTCCACTATTCGTAAAGCATGATGGCCTTTTGAAATCATTTTTATGACTTGCTTGTCGATTTCAGAATTTGTCACTTGAGTTGGTTTCAAATTTGAAGATGACGCTATATTTTCAAGATTTTGTCCACCTGTTTCTCCTATACTTTGCCGTTCTACACTTACTATTATTGCGGGGTGTTTATTTTTGATGTGCCTGCCTAGATTGCCAACTGACCCGCTAGAAATGCTTATGTACTGCAAACAATAATTACACTTAGCTCGTTTACCAGTTTCATCTTCAACGAAATGATTCCACAATACACTTAATTTTCTTTTTGTCGCCATCACTATCACTTAAAAATCCTAATTTATTAGCAAAGTAAATACCTCTGGTGATTCCCAGATTCAACAACAAACCGAGTGCATCAAATTATTCTAAGCGGTTAAAGCCCACCTCTACATAAGACGGCAGCAACTCTGTTCAGCTCGGAAGAACCGACTCACCCGAAGGCGACGCTCGTCCCTGAGCTGTGACCGATCGAAACGAACTAGTTCAGTTAGTTCATAGTTCTGGAACGGCTCTTTGAACTAGTTCGTTCATGAACTACGCAACTCTACTTTGACGTTAAATAATTCAAACTATCAAAGTTGTGTATTAATAAGTACTACATTTTCTCTCTTTAAAATCATAAATCTGTCACACAAATTGTCGAAACCTGTGGAAAATGGCCGGTATTCCCTATTTGAATGAAGAAAAGTTTGACATGTGCATCAGTAAGAACCAGAGATAACAGGAGATGTAACTACTAACAAATATCGTGCGGTCCTGAATGAGACATTCTAAGAGACACAGGAGGGTATAATATCAGCTTTTGTCATATACCTATTTCATTATTCTCGTTTTGTTTACAAACGTATTTACATATATATTAAAAAAGCTAAAATAATTTATTGCAACTGAACCTAAAAAATTTGAATCATTAGTTATGTCAAATTTAACTAAATTAGATGTAATAATTTTCAATAAATTCCAAAACCTAGTAATGTTAAGTTGGAAGTGGCAACAGGGCTTATACCGGCATGGATATTTACGTTGTTTATTATAAACGCACAGCGGCTTACACATTTATTCATTGATAAAAAAAAGCTGTATCTAAGTAAAATTCTTCTCTTTATCCCCTCTCTTACTTCTCACCTTTCGTCTCCTCGCCACGGACCTACAAATGGGGCGTATTGATTATCGAATTAATCTTGGCATCGTGAATATTATATTTTATCAATGAATGGTTATATCTCTGGTTAAAAGGAAGAACGGAAGAATTTATTGGCTATCACTGGATTAAAAAATTATACTAAAAGCATTTAATGGTGATTCAAACTTTGATAGGAAAAAAAATGGACATTTCAAAAATAAAATCAAAAATACAGGTCTGGATTAAAAAAAATATGTATACACCCTGAAAGGAAAAAACAAATTCTGTCAACTATGAGATATAAAATATTTTTTTTTAATGTTTAAAACTTTCAAACGCTTTTGACCTTATAAGGTATCATGTTAGGCAAAGAAAAATATGTAGAAAAATCATTAGAATAATATGCTAGACCAATAAATTATACCTATAAATATATAACAAATAATTTTGAAAAAACAAAAAAATAATTAAAATGTAGCCTAAATGTTTGACGTTCAACAAATTTCTATTTTTTACCCAAATATCTCTAAAACAGAATATTTTAATTTTGAAAGAACCAATAAATTCGTCTTGAAAGTGTTTATTTTTTAACCAAATTTGTATCTAGGTATAACAACGAAATTTTGGCCACCATGTAACGCTTTTCTAATTATTATCCCAATTTTAAACAATAAAATTTAAAGTTTAAGCAATAATAATTGTGAGAGCATTCAAGAATTAATTCCAGTATCCCAGGGATGATTACAAACTAAAGAAAAATTGGAAAAATCTTCAACCCTTGGAAAACAATTTAATTAAGCATTTCAAACATCTGTCAAAATGCTGACAAGTAGGAACTGACAGTTTAGACATGACAAACCTGTGCCCTCTGCTGTATACGAGCCCTAACTATATGTTGGAACAAGCAACTAATAAAAAAGTAGTTTAAACTAAATCTATAACTGTTTTTTGTTTTAACTATACAGAAGTAATTACTAATATGTTCACTATCGTTTTGACTTTTGACGTTTATCTAAAATAAATAAACGTTCCTTCTACATTTGTTGTCTTCATTTAAAATCTCAAACTACCAGTTTAACTTTTTGGAAAAATGTGTCGCCTAACCTAGTAGTAATTGCATCAAAATACGTGTGTCTTTTTATCCAACTGTTGCAGCAACGTTGGCATCGGTGCGGTATCTACCTGTCTTTTATTTCATCAATCTATCAATGAAGAACTAACAGCGCTGTCTATTTATCCAACGTTGATGCAATCGATGCAACACCATTCCATCATTTCAATGTACGGTTTTTCCGATTAGATGTGACAACTGACAGCTATGGATTGCGGGAATTAATCAGAATTAAGGAGTTTATTAATTAGTTGTTTTTTGTGGGAAAACCAAAAAAATGAGATTTTAAAAATATATGCGTACAAATTAAAGTAAATAAAATTATAAACACAATATTTATTTCAACGGTCAACCATAAATAAATCGAATCCAACAAAAGGCGTTCAAGGCCGCATCGGCGAAAAAACGATTCCAACAAACCGGTGGAAAAAGACACACGTAATGGCCGCGCCCTAGGTTGAGCGAGTGGGACGTCTCTCTTGCACCGTATAGCAATCAACATATGTGACTGCAATTAATTCATTTTGACGTTAAAAAACGCTGACAACTAAATGTTGGAACACGCATTGTTTACTTGACGTTTTTTACTTTTTTCGATGTTATCGCCATGGCTGTGACTATGACAGGTTTTTAATAAAAGCAAACGCAGTCTACAGCTTGTTACATTGTTGACAAAACTTTGAATATAGTAAAAAAATAATTACCTACATTTTTATTTCAAGGCAAAAACCTATGTTTATTTTGTAAAACATGGACGATCAATCTATATAACTATTTATATTATTGACCCTGTCAAATCACCTTGCATACAAGGTTGCCATATCATAATCTGTCAAACCCCACTGGCCGCCATTTTGTTTGAAATGCCCAATAGACAGAGTTGAGGTCAAATTAGAGGTTCTTTCGTTCGCTGTTGGTGCAGTGTCCACCAGTGTAAATTACACCAGTTACACCACCTTATTTACCCTAGTTTACTTCCAACTTATTCCTTATACACATGTCGAGTGTAATTCGCTCCTGCTAAATAGCGGGTGGAGAAAATATCCACCAGTGGACACCACATCGCCGACAGGAAGGTATAGTGGGTTTTACACCGGGCCAAACGAAAGGTTTAGTGTACGTTGGTGTAGTTCATTCCTACACCAGTGGGACGAACGAAAGAACCTTAGGTCATTGGATGTATAACGCTGGAGTGCGTTTAGAATCCTCGCACGGTGCGTCTGACCACATACATTAGAATAGGATCCAGGGGCCCAATTCTCGAAACATGCGTTAACTGCCGCATGCGCTAAGTAACGCATGGTCGTTAACGCATACGACAGCAATTTAGTATTCCTGAACACCATGCGATAATCGCGAATCAAGTCGAACGTGTTAACGAAGAGTCTTTGATTATTGCATAGTCTTAACCAATGAGGATTCAGAATACCAAAGATCGTATCACTGAATATGAGATAATTGCATTGACACATGTCAAAATTGCCAAAAATTATAAAATTAAATGGATTGGATGTCTAATAATTTTTGGTTTTTAGACGTTTTAACTGTGATTATTTGTATTTTGGACTTGAGAATTGGAGTGGTTTAGATTTAGAATATTAAAAATGGAACAGCGTGGTTCACGAATAACGGAAAAATTGCGTGAAACTTTAGTAGAATTTATAACATTGTTTAGTGCCTGTAAAACTCATATTTCTTCTATATCATCCATACTAAATAAAATAAACCAAAATAAAGTGGCACCTAAACGTCCAATAAAAGAGTTCACGGTTCAAAAAGTTTCATTTTTATATTCTAATAAAATGTTCAATAGAGTCAAATTAAAAATAAATATTTCCCAATAATAAATCACAAAACAAAGCCAATAGATAGAAACACGAATCACATATGATAAAGCAGGATTAATTGACAATTATAACCTTACTTTCACCTAAACGAATGCGACAAAGTAGTTGTCGAACGGTCATGAGCGCTCTTTGAAAATCATCATTTCTTAGCGCATACTTTAATAAATTTGACGAATGCCGCCAGTTCAGGAATACACTTTCATCAAGTCGCATACGTTATCGCATGCGATAAGTTAACGAAGGCGTCAGGAATTGGGCCCCAGACCAATGAACTGGAGCGGGGTAGAATGCTTGTCAACAGACTTGATGTGCGACTCTATGGGCGAAGATAGGTTATTTTTTATCTCACTCAGGAGTATTTAAAATAGCCAGTTTCTATTTCACATTGTTATTGTCTGATCCACCAGCTTGTGGATTGAACAATAACAATGTGAAACAGAAAATGGTTATTATAAATAGTCCCGAGTGAGATGAACAATAAAAATGGCTGCGCCCATCGAGTCGCACCTTGTTCTAATAGTACAACATGTACATTGGCATTCTACCCCCCTCCAGTTCTTTGATCCAGACGCGCCGTGCGAGGTTTCTAAACGCACTCCTGTGGTGGTCTAATTTTAAATTGTTTCTTTACATTGTATCGGCCATCGGCAGTAAAATTGACAAATTTTTCGAGTTAGGCTTTCCATTTTCGTGATAATAAATATAGTTATTCAATTAATGGTTTTAAAGCGGAATAGGAGTAATGTTAATATTTATAATGAAAGGGAACGGGAATTTCAGTGCACACGTACCTAGACGTAGCATCCAAACTATAAACAAAACTACCAAACTACTCACCATGTCGTTTTCCCAATGCGCTTGTCGATGGCCGAATTGGAGGTTCTGCAATGTAATAATCACTCACAGGCAACATTCCACATACAATCTAACAGAAGTTTTTTTATAGAGACATGTTCAAGTATGCGGGTGTATTTTCGGTATAGAGAAATCAAAACATACACAAAACATGTGAGAAATACGAAGTGTGACTATAAAAAAACCGGTAACCGGTACTGATCGTTGTGCAGTAGAATCGGGATCATTCGAATTAAAAATAATCGGTCATTCGATTATTGAAATCATTCGAGTGTTTCGATTATTACTAAAAGTATTTAAGTCCAAGTTCAATGCGTTGTCAATGAAAAGTAACTGTATTGAAAGGAACCACATTTAAGACAGTAGAAGCTGAACAAATAACACTACTGCTTTTAGGATTACCTATACCGTAATTTTTACTCGGAGACGCCAGGTTTGAAGATCATTTTTCGGGTTTACATTTAAAATTTTCAGGGTTGTCATTAAAATGATCCGGGTTTACATTTAAATTTTCTAGGTTTACATTTAAGTCCTCCAGGTTTACATTGAAATTCTTCGGGTTTACCAGATTTACATTTAAATTTTCCGGATTTGCATTTAAATTTTCTGGGTTTTCATTAAAAATCTACGGGTATAAATTTAAATGTTCCAGGTTTATAATTAAATTCCTCCGTGTTTATATTTAAATTTCCCGGGTTTATATTTACATTATCTAGGTTTACATTTAGATGATTCTTTGACTTTACATTTAAATTCTGAGTTTACATTCAAATTTTCTAGGTTTAAATTTAAGTTCTCCTGGTTTATATTCAAATTCTCCGGATATACCAGGTTTACATTTATATTCTCCGAGTTTACATTTATTTTCTGAGTTTTAATTAAATTTATCCGGGTATACATTTAAATGTACCAGATTCACATTTAAATGTTCCACGTTTACATTTTAATTTTCCGAGTTTACATTTAAATTCTCTGGGTTTACACTTAAATTTTCTAGGTTTACATTTAAATTCTCCGGGTTTGCATTTACACTTTTTGGGTTTACATTTAGAGGATCATTCTTTGAGTTTACATTTAAATTCCCCAAGTTAAATTTTCTAGGTTTACATTTAAATTCTCCAGGTTTCCTTTTGGAAGTTTATATTTAAATTCTCCATGTTTACATTTAGATCATTCTTTGGGTTTACATTTAAATTTTCCATGTTTACATTTAGATCATTCTTTGGGTTTACATTTAACTTCTCCCGGGTTTACATTTAAATTCTTCGGGTTTACATTATCCGGGTTTATATTTTCCAGGTTAACAGTTAAATTCTACGGGTTTACATTTAAGTTCTACTAGTTTATATTGTAATTCTCCGGGTTTACTAGATTTGTATTTAAATTATCTGGATTTACCTTTATTTTCTGTGTTTTCGTTCAAATTCTCCGGGTATACACTTAAATTCTCCGAGTTTACACATAAATTCTATGGGTTTTCATTAAAATTCTCCGAAAAATTATTTAATTTTCTAGGTTTACATTTTTAGTTCTCCTGGTTTGCATTTAAATTTTCCGGGTTTGCCAGGTTTACATTTAAATTCTCCGGGTTTTATATTAACATTTAAAAGATCATTATTTGAGTTTACATTTAAATTCTCTGGGTTTGCATTTAAATTTTCTAGGTTTACATTTAATTTCTCCGGGTTTGCATTTACATTTTTTGGGTTTACACTTAGAAGATCATTCTTTGAGTTTACGTATACATTCACCGGGTTAAATTTTCTAGGTTTACATTTAAATTCTCCAGGTTTCCTTTTGGAAGTTTGTTTTTTGAGTTTACATTTAAATTCTCCAGGTTTGCCAGATTTACATCATCTGGGTTTACATTTAAATCATTCTTTGGGTTTACATTTAAATTTTCTGTTTACATTTAACTTCTCCCGGGTTTACATTTAAATTCTCCGGGTTTATATTTAAATTTTCTAGGTTTACATTAAAATTATCTGAGTTTACATTTAAATTCTCTGGGTTTACATTTAAATTTTCTAGGTTTAGATTTTTGGTTCTCCTAGTTTGCATATAAATTCTCAGGGTTTGCCAGGTTTACATTTTTAGTTCTTTTCGTTTACAATTAAATTCTCCGGGTTTGTTAGGTATGCATTTAAATTCTCTAGGTTTGCATTTAGAAGATAATTCTTTGAGTTTACATTTAAATTTTCTGGCTTTACATTTAAATTCTCCTGGTTTACATTTAAATTCTCCTGATTTACATTTAAATTCTCCTGATTTACATTTAAATTCTCCGGGTTTACTAGATTTACATTCTTTGGGTTTACATTTAAATTCTCCGGGTTTACATTTAAATTTTCTAAGTTTACATTTAGTTCTCCCTGGTTTAAATTCTTCAGGTTTACATTAAGATTATACAGGTTTGCATTTAAATTCTCCGGGTTTACTAGGTTTATATTTAAATTCTCCGGGTTTACGTTTGTTTTCTGGGTTTTCATTAAAATTCTCCGGATTTACATTTAAATTCTTAGGGTTTATTAAGTTAATTTAAATTTTCCGAGTTGACACTTAAAGTGTCTAAGTTTTCATTAAAATTCTCCGGGTTGGCACTTAAATTTTCTAAGTATTCATTAAAATTCTCCCGGTACACATTTAAATGCTCCATGTTCAATTTAAATTTTCAGGGTTTACATTTAAATTCTCCGGGTTACATTTACATTATCTGGGTTTACATTTAGAAAATCATTCTTTCGGTTACATTTAAATTCTCTGGGCATACATTTAAGTTCTCCGGGTTTACATTTAAATTCTCAAAGGAGGCGCCGCGAATCTAAAATAAATGCACATAGCTCTCTAACTTGTTTGAGAACCACAGGTAAATTTGGAGAATATGAACAACAATAAAAACAGCAAAAAATTCTTCTGTACATTTGTCAACAAAATTATGTCGCAATATTAGTAACCATAATTGTTTTGATCAAAGCACAATTTTGATAAAGACATTGGAGGGAAGTATATTAAAGGATATAACGTTAAAATTGTGAGAGAAAATCAATAAAAGATTTTACAGCACTATTCCGGTTTTTTTTATAGTCACACCTCGTACATCGGTAAAAAAAATAACTGCTTGAAAATAATACATACTCTTTAAATATTATTTTATTTAATTTTTTTCCTTAAATTGTTTTTTCCACAATAGGCTAGAAAATATATTTCACATTAAACTTACTTTGTTTATGATCCAGACCGATCTGACCAAAATTTTTCTACCTAGTTGGTTATACATGGTCGAAAGCTTTTTGCTAGCTTAACTACTACACTTTTATGTTCAAAATGATTGATTTTTACAAAAAATATTGACAATAAACATACAAAAAGGGAAATAAAAAAAAAGAAAGAAATAAAAAAAAACTTTGTGCTTCTAGTTATTTTTAACCATTTTATTTATTAACAAATATTTAAATATGTATATGAAAATGTAAATAATTGTTTTTTTTTTAAATATTCAACAATATAAGAAGTTACAAAATAAATTACGATATATATAAAGCTAATTTAGCAGTACTCGTTTTGTGTGATTTATATATAAATATATACAATCCCATGCTACATACCATTCTCTTTGTTGTACAAAATAACACTATTATCAATCAATAGGGGGTGCAAAATAAATAATACGCCTTCTACAGCCACAATTTAATAGGAACAATAGAATTTTGACTACTGTGCTGAATTATCTACCACATACAAGGGAAATTAACTACCGAAAACTACTCGTATTTAAATTATAAATATATACCAAATTTTCCTGCACTATTGTTTTGCTGAATATAAAAATAGTGCAGGAAAATTTTAGCGAAAATTTGTTTCAATCAGGAATTAATAGATTTGTTTCAAGTGCAGAACCGTTCGGGATTTATCTGCCATTGAGTAGTACGTAAAATAGAAGAGCTCATGCGCAGATAAATTCGTAACGGTTGTATACTGCTTTTTGAACAAATCTAATGTGTTATGTTTGTAATTAATAACCTAAAATGGAGATTTTATTAAGTTATACTAATAAAACAAAATATCCCTAAAAAGGAATGTCAAAAACGGCACACGTCCATGAACAGCTTTTTTCAGGAAACACAACGATTTAGGGTACGACCGAGCTTTGGTAGAGGTAGAGTTCGATATGGAAGCAAGTGAACTGATATAAAGCTCATTTTGGACAAGTTAAATCTCGAACACAGATGTGGAGGTGGTTTCCGGAACTACTTCTGAATGATGAGCAGTGATTTTGGGGTTCTTAATTGCACCGGGACACTAATCAGCAAGAAGGACTCTAGATTCAGAAAACCACAATACATCAATTCGGGTCCAAGTGGAAGGCGATGAGATCATCACTCATTTTCAACCTAGATTCAAAAAATCCGTTCCAGGTCATGAACGTAAGGTTGGAAATTATCTGTGGCAGCTGAAGGCCACCTGTGGCACTCCTACACTTTTCCCATGGCTTCCTTTGATTTGGGTTCAGGTTGGCATGCCATCTGGCACTAGTTTGCCAACTGGCACGTGCTGACAGAAAAGTTTTCACATCATTTGTGGCTTTACCAATTGATATAATGAAGACGCGGCTAAATAAAAGCCCCCCAATAAAATTATTGACACTGGCAGTTCAAAAATCCATTAGAAAACCTTCCATTGTCAAAAACTTCCAAGCACAATTTATCTGGCAAATATTGAAAACTTCCTTAGGTAGCAAATAAAGCAAATATCAAGCTGATGTACTAAAATTCACAGAATTTAATTGCAACAATTAAATTAATTTTATCTTATACGACTTTTATGATTACTTTGACGGTGTTATTGGGGCTTACTGACTTAGTAAATGTAAATTTAAATATAGACATGATAAACAAAAATTAATTGAGTCTTTATACTGAAATCCCTTTAAAATATAGACAGCTAAACAATGCAACTTCTTCCTTTTCAAACTGAAAAAAAGATATACAGATACGCCTTGTTACATAGACTATACAAGTTCATCTAAATGGTCTATGGTGGTGAGAGTAAATCAAACAGCACCATCAAATTATTGACTCTGGCAGTTTAAAAATCCATTATATAACCTTCCATTGTTGAAAACTATTTTCCAATCACAATTTATCAGGAAAATGTAAGATTAAAAACTTTCTTAGGTAGCAAAGAAATCAGATATCAAGCTGATGAACCAAAATTCACACAATTCAATTAATTTTATCTTTTACGACTTTCATGATTACTTTGACGGTATTATCGACCCTTATACGACTTTTATAATTACTTTGATGGTGTTATTGGTCTTTACTGACTTAGTAAATATGAATTTAAATATAGACATGATGAACAAAAATTAATTCGTCATTATACTGAAATCCCCTTAAAATATAGACAACCAAACAATGTAACTTTTTCTTTTCAAGTTGAAAAAATGCTATATGGATACACCCTATTACATAGACTATACAAGTTCATTTAAATGGTCTATGGTGATAAATAGGGTTTTCCACATCAGTAAATCAAACGGCACCATCAAATTATTGACTCTGGCAGTTTAAAAATCAATTATATAACCTTCCATTGTTGAAAACAATTTTCTAATCTCAATTTATCAGGAAAATGTAAGATTAAAAACTTTCTTAGGTAACAAAGAAATCAGATATCAAGCTGATGAACCAAAATTCACACAATTCAATTAATTTTATCTTATACGTCTTTCATGATTACTTTGACGGTATTATCGACCCTTATACGACTTTTATAATTACTTTGACGGTGTTATTGGTCTTTACTGACTTAGTAAATATGAATTTAAATATAGACATGATGAACAAAAATTAATTCGTCATTATACTGAAATCCCTTTAAAATATAGACAACCAAACAATGTAACTTTTTCTTTTCAAGTTGAAAAAATGCTATATGTATACACCCTATTACATAGACTATACAAGTTCATTTAAATGGTCTATGGTGATAAATAGGGTTTTCCACATCAGTAAATCAAACAGCACCATCAAATTATTGACTCTGGCAGTTTAAAAATCAATTATATAACCTTCCATTGTTGAAAACAATTTTCTAATCTCAATTTATCAGGCAAATATAAGATTGAAAACTTCCTTAGGTAGCAAATAAATCAGATATCAAGCTGATGTACCAAAATTCAATTGCAACAATTTAATTAATTTGTCTTTTACGACTTTCATGATTACTTTGACGGTGTTATTGGCCCTTAAAACCAAACAATGTAACTGTTTCCTGTTTTGAATCTTACTATATAAATAAGTACTTCTTAGAGTACCATTTTGTTTTTTTTTTTTTTTTCAAAATTCGTCCCTAATATTCTTTTTTCTTTTAAATAAATACAACTACAATTTCTCAAGTTTAAAATGAATTGATTAGGTCAAAATTCATAATGAATATGCTCCATTAACTAGTGGGACAATTAGGTCTATAAGATAGTAATAAATACTTTTTTATAACAATATCGGAAACTTATATCATGTTTTTTATATTTATTTGATACATTTTAAATTTAAAAACCAAATAAAAAAGTATATTGCTCACGTCACTTAGGTTTATTAGGCTCATTATGCATCCTCTAAAGCCACATATCTCTTAAACCCAAAAAATTGTGTATCAATGTTTTTCGAGTGTAACTGTAAATTAATTAAAGAAAAATATTATAACATTTGTAGGTTGTTTTGGGAATTTTAAGTTTTTATTTTATTAAAAATTTTTTTTTCTAAATGATCCATTTCTTATATAATCTAAGGGTTTTATATCACTCAATATGACTTTATAAGTAAGCAAGTCACGCAGCGCCACTTCAAATAACAGCCGTCCCTACCCCGCACAAACAAGCATCGTATCATAAGGGGGTGAATTATAGGTTACTATTACTATAAGTACATCTATTAAAAAATTTGACTTGTCATTAGATATTATGATTTTTTAAATTTTTGTTCATGAATACAACTCTTTAACTCGACATTTTTAACAGCAGACATTGTTTTGACCGCAAATCTTTGACTAATTTTGTACTATTTGTGTATAAAAAACTAAAAATCTTTTTTTATAACATCACCAAATAATAGGGACAGAATTGTAGGACCTTACCTTTCCCTACTTACAAAGACGTGTGCGGAAGGGTGATCGGTTGACTTAATTCAAATCGTGTGCCGAAACTCGGCCGTCCTCCCCCCCCCCCTGCCTCACTATTTTGTATCACGGGTAACTTTTTTTAAATATTTTTGTATAGGCGATAATAAAAAAGCACTACAATGTAAAGAAATTACTTAAATTTAAAATTAAGTACGTTAAATTTTTTTGGGGCGCTTTTATATAATTATTTTGCACCGCCTACCCTGTACAAACTATATAAGGATATACGAGGAGTTCTCAAAAATTACAATCATTGAAGAATAAACATTTTTTTATATATTTCTACGGACAGTCCAAATTAGAATCAAAATGATTTCTTTTTTAATTCCCAACAAGAAAACATAATTTTTACAAAAGTGTTAAAAAAATTAAAGTATAGTTTGAATATTGGCATAATAATTTTTCACCATAAAGAAAACTGGAATTTCTATTTTATTAAATTAAGTCATTAATAATTAACGTATTTCTATCCTTCAACAACGTAATTTTCAAAAAATCCCGTAATATATAAAAAAAATAAATTTATACAAAAATAAATGTATAATAATAATAAAAAAATATATAACAAATTATACGTAAAACAACAAAAAAATAAAAAATAAAAGGAAACTAAAAAACGAAATCAGCAAATGATGTTCAGCAAGCCTTTTACTTTATTATACGAGATTCTAATTAATCAGTACCTGAATTCAATTCTCTTACTAAGGTCGACATGGCGTTGGTGACCGAGTCGGCGGCCACTAGGAGGTCGTTCCGCAATGATCGGCCCACAGAACCAGGAGTACCATTTCCATTACCTAAATCGACAAAACAATACTAAAAGAATCGTTCGACATTACTATGCACACAATTTAATAGTAAGTGATTATAAGTGTCTTAATAGCCTTTAAAAATAAGTTGTATACAGTATTTTTTCTACGTCCATCATGTTATAATAAAAACATTATTTTATTTTCAATATTTATTAAACTATAAAACTAATTGTAAATATCAAACTAAGAAAATTTAATATTATTTTATTTTCAAAATTTAATAAACTATAAATATAAATATTTTATTTTTAAAATTTATTAAACTATAAATATAATTGTGAATTATCAAACTAAGAAAACTTAATAGCTTTTAAATGTAAGTTGCATACACTATGTTTTCTACGACCATAAAATTACAATAAAAATATTTTCAAAATTTATTAAACTATAAATATAATTGTGAATGATCAAACTAAGAAAACTTAATAGCTTTTAAATGTAAGTTGCATACACTATTTTTTCTACGACCAACAAGTTATAATAAAAAAAATATTTTAAAATTCATTAAACTATAAATATAATTGTGAATTATTGGATTTAGAAAACTTAATAGCATTTAAATGTAAGTTTCATACACTATTTATTCTACGGCTATCAAGTTATGAGAAAAAAATTATTTTATTTTTAAAATTTATTAAACTTTAAATATAATTGTGAATTATCAAACAAAGAAAACTTAATAACTTTTAAATGTAAGTTAGATACACTATTTTTTCTACGATCATCAAAGTTATAATAAAAAATTATTTTATTTTCAAAATTTATTAAACTATAAATGTAATTGTGATTTATCAGACTAAGAAAACTTAATAGGTTTTAAATGTAAGTTGCATACACTAATATTTCTACGACCAGTTATAATAAAAAATAAGTAATTAATTTTTAAAATTTATTATACCATAAACAGAATTGTGAAATATCAGACTAAGAAAACTTAATAGCCTTTACATGTAAGTTGCATACACTATTTTTTCTACGATCATTAAATTAAAAAATAAGTATTTTATTTTTAAACTTTATTAAATTATAAATAGAATTGTGAATTATGACTAAGAAAACTTAATAGCTTTTAAATGTAAGTTGCATACACTATTTTTTCTACGACCAACAAGTTATAATAAAAAAAATATTTTAAAATTCATTAAACTATAAATATAATTGTGAATTATTGGATTTAGAAAACTTAATAGCATTTAAATGTAAGTTTCATACACTATTTATTCTACGGCTATCAAGTCGTGATAAAAAAATTATTTTATTTTAAAAATTTAATAAACTTTAAATATAATTGTGAATTATCAAACAAAGAAAACTTAATAACTTTTAAATGTAAGTTAGATACACTATTTTTTCTACGATCATCAAAGTTTTAATAAAAAATTATTTTATTTTCAAAATTTATTAAACTATAAATGTAATTGTGATTTATCAGACTAAGAAAACTTAATAGGTTTTAAATGTAAGTTGCATACAATATTTTTTCTACGACCATCATATTATAATAAAAAAATATTTTATTTTCAAAATTTATTAAATTATAAATAGAATTGTGAATTATCAGACTAATAAAACTTAATAGCCTTTAAATGTAAGTTTCATAAACTATTTTTTCTACGACCATCAAGTTATAATAAAAAATAAGTATTTTATTTTTCAAATTTATTAAACCATAAATATAATTATGAATTATTAAACTAAGAAAACTTAATAGCTTTTAAATGTAAGTTGCATACACTATTTTTTCTACGACCATCAAACTACAATAAAAAAATTATTTTCAAAATTCATTAAACTATAAATATAATAGTGAATTATCAGACTAAGAAAACTTAATAGCCTTTAAATTTGATTTGCATACACTATGTTTTCTACGACCATCAAATTATAATACAATAGGTATTTTTTTAAATTTATTGAACTACAAATAGAATTGTGAATTATCAGACTAAGAAACCTTAATAGCCTTTAAATTTAAGTTGCATGCACTATTTTTTCTTCGACCATCAAGTTATAATAAAAAATTATCATTTTATTTTCAAAAACTTATTAAATTAGAAAAAAAATTGTCAATTATCATACTAATAAAACTAAAGAATTTCAAATTTGAACCAATCAAAAAATGGCTATCTATTGCGCTACGAATCTAAAATCTCTAGCATCTTTGGCGTATTTATTGTAATTTAATAACAATTGGTAATAAATTCAAAATCCAAAAGTGATCAATGGAATAAATATTAAATGACACTGATAGTTCAAAATCCATTATAAAACTATTGTTGAACACGATTTTAATAATATAATTTATTCGGCAAATATAACAAAACTTCCTTAGGTAGCAAAGAAATCAAATATCAAGCTGATATACTAACACTCATAGAATTCAATTGCAACAATTTTTAATTTTATCTTATATGTCTTTCATGATTAATTTAACGGCGTGATCGGACTTATTGACTTAGTAAATATATTATTTAAATGTAGATTTAATACGAAAAATTATTTACATTACTGATTAGGATATTTTGCTGATAGGCGAGATCTTCAATATTGAATATAATAAAACTCGATATTTACAAATTTTGAGACTAGAACGAAGTGCGTATGAAGTTTAAAAATAAAAAATATCGATCCGCGAGATGTGTAACAAGATTTAGTCGAATCCGAGGCATCTTTACTAGTCGAAGGTTAAAACTGGAGTGTATGTGTAACGAGAAGCATAAACAGTTCAAGCAGTGAGTGGAAGCAGGTGGTTCATGGCCAAAGAAAGTGAAATCTATCGCGATAATCAAATTTACATTTAAAAAGTCGAAAATTTTCAACAATTATAAATAATTATGCTACAAAAAACCCCATATATAAATTAAAAACACACAAATAAAATTATTAATTGACACTGGTAGTACATTTTATCCAGCAAATATAACAAAACTTCCTTAGGTAGCAAAGAAATCAAATATCAAGCTGATATACCAACATTCACAGAAATCAGTTGCAATAATGTCATCAATTACTAACTTAGTAAATATGAATTTAAATATAAACTCATGTCCTGAAATCCCTTTTAAATATATACAACCAAATCGTTAATCGTCAATCGTTAGTACACAGGGTGAAGACATAATTATCGAAGAAACATAATTTGGTAGTATTTATTTATCCCCATTTTGTATTCTAGTGGCTTTATCAAGCTTTTTAATCAGCTTACAGTTTTAAATAGTTCAAGTCTGAGACATGTATCTATTATATTGACTAGAGTTGGCTAATACTCATTGAACACAGTTTAATACAGACCATGAACATAAATATAGAAGAGAGTTTCAGTAATTTTTCAAGAAGACAACGATTTAAGCATCATACTGTATATTATAATAGTTCAGATTTCAAGTAGAGATGAATCTTACTTTGTGAATGTGACGTGTGCTGTCTATCTCTTTCCCTGTCCCTCTCCCTTTCGTTTTGGCTCATAGGTGGCATGGAATTCGATATGGAAGAATTTACCGACGAGGGAATCCCCATCGGCGTTTGAGGAGCGCTGCGAGGATTAGGTTGGCTCGTCGGTTGAACGCCCGGAGGTAAAGGAGGCGATTTTGTACTTCGCGGTGATGAATTGGGCGTACTTCTGGGAGACGATTGGTGATTCTGTAATACGTTGAGAACTGTCAGGGAATAGTTGACCAGTGGAATGTTTAAAAGTTGAAAATGATGAATAATTTGCTATTCAATTGTTTCACTGGATCTCGGACGATTTGATGACCTTTAGTATACTATTTTTATACACAAATGACTTACTTTTAACATTTTCATTAGTCCCTCAAGTTGCATCATGAGTTGCCGCCTGGAATCTTGCAAAGTGGTTAGATGCGTTTCTAATTCGTCCTTTCTCATCCTCAGAGCTCGCAATTCGTTCATCAGTACTGGGTTATCGGGCGCGTGACCATTATTTTCTAGTTCTTGTTGACGTCTGCGTGATATACAGCAATGAATGGTTTTTTTATAAATGAAATTACAATTACTCACCTCAGTCTTGCAATTTCTCTCATAATTTCCCTATTTTTAGCTTCGAGTTGGTTAATTAGTTCTCTCTGAGCTCTGGTAGAGTCCATTCCTAGACAAGCTTCGGAAGGAACTCTTCCCTAGAACATTAAACTTGCGATTACCACAATAATGGACAGGGAAAGGATTCTAACTACTACAAATATTAGATTCAAGAGGGTGGGGGGAATCAATAGCCACTGTAGATCCGCCGGTGATAATGGCGACACAATAACACATGCAAAAATATTAGTCATTGCAAAGAAGACAGTTATTTACTCTCAAGTTACGAAACACCCTGTAAATTGAATGGTTTCCATGAAAAAGGTAAAGAAAACGACTGAAAAGCGGGGACGAGCTTATGTATTAAAAAAAGTAAACGAACCATTCCAGATCTGGCTTCCTGAGCTAACTTGGCTGCGTACCTCGCAATCAAACGATGTTCATCGTCGCGGGCGCTGTCCAAGCTGTTGAAAACAGTCATATAAATACCACTGTACTGTAAACATTATTTATATTTAATCATAAAATCAAGAAGACGATTAAAATCGTACAGAAAAAGGCAATTAAAAAAATCGAAAGCAAAGAAAGTAAAAGAAGTCGTTCTATATATTTTTACAGGTCAAGATTAGTGTATATTATGCTACGTTTGAAAAGTAACTACCAACATTCATAGAATTCAATTGCAACAATTTAATTAATTTTATAGGATTTTCATGATTACTTTGACGGTGTTATCTGATTTATTAAATATGAATTTAAATATAGATTTAATAAACAAAAATTAATAACCCTTTTAAATTTAGAAATTTTATGTCTTAAAATCAACTTTTTGGTCATCATCAAAATAAAATCAAATTAATCCAAATTAATAATCTAAACCCGAACCTATGTCAACCACATTCCGAAATCCCTGGCTTATATGAGAAATGCAAATTATAATAAAAGACAAAATTATTTCTAAAAAGAATTTTAAAGAATTAAATAATACACAAGCATTTGAAACAAGTTTTGATGATTTTTTATCAAAACTACATACTAGAAAACGAATGTGAAAGTCATACAAACGAACAATATGAAATATTTACAAATTAAAAATGAAATTCAAAAAGTCGAACATTTTCAACAGACCAGTCTTACCGAAACAATTAACAAATAACCCATCACCCTATATAGGAATTAATAACCCACCCAAGAAATTATTCATTGGCACTGGTAGTTCAAAATCCATTATAAAACCATTCATTGCTGAAAAAGATTTTCTAAGCACAAGTTATCCAGCAAATATAACATTAAAAACTTCCTTGGATAGCAAACAAATCAAATATCAAGCTGATGTACCAGCATTCCCAAAATTAAACAGCAACAATTTAATTAATTTCATTTTATAAGTCTTTCATGATTACTTTGACGGTGTTATCGAACTTACTGAATTATATAAATATGAATTTAAATATACTTGATATGAAAAATTATTTACATTATAAAAATGATGGGCCAGATTTGACTCAACAATAATTAGGATTGAAGATTTTTTGTGGTAGGCAGATCTTCAATGATGAATATGATAAAAGTCGATGCTTCATAAACTTTAGTCTATATGAGGGTGAAACGAAATCATTTAGGAGTTAGATATTTTAAACAAATTCTTTGGATAAATTTTAACCAATCAAAATAATGGCTATTTATTGCGCTATTAATCTAAAATGACAAAATAGATCAATGGAGTAACGAAATAGTAGTTTGTGCAACAAGAGTGAATATGGGCAATCCATTCGAGTTGTACAGTATATTTTTTCTACAATCTACAAATTTTAAAATAAATTATAACTTTTACTAATTTATAAAATAAAATAAAATAAACATGAAAAAAAAAAGATTTAATTAATCACTAGCCCAGATTTGAACCCGGCCCTCTCACATGAAAGCCAAACGTCGTGTCCTTACCTCTATCTCTTCATTTAAGATTTATTTGTAAATGTGAATGATATAAAAACAGAAATGCTATTATTTATAGATTTTACACAATAACTTATTTTTACAATTAATTTGACAGTATTGTAACTTATATAAAATTTAAAAAATAGTAGCTGGGTGACCAAAATATGAACTGTGATTGGTGCATTCATTTTTTTGCATTGTTCTTAGCAAGTAGAATAGATATGAAATATATTCGTTCAGTTGTTTACTAATATTAGTGTGGGAGTAGAAAAAATTATTTACATTATAAAAATATATTTTTTTCATGTAGATCTTCAGTAATAAAAGTCAATATTTCACAAATTTTAGTCTTTATGAAACAGGGTAAAAATGCTTCGTTGTACAGAAATCAAAAACGTTTTCACTAATAGATAGCGCTGATTGTACTCTTTCAGGCAATGTAAAACATAATACAATCCGTGTGGTTTAGCGGTTAATCATAGGCAAAAATTATTTCCAAAAAGATTCAAATCGAAATGAAAAATTTCTATTTTGAAGAATTAAATAACACAGGAGTTACGCAAATGATCAAATATACCTGTTTCACAGACTTAATTTCTCAACATCCAAGATGTCCCGAGTCAATAGAGTCTAGTACTACGTCAGTCAAATATTTAATTAACTACAGACCGTCGACCATGATAACGTTGTTGACTTATTCGTCACTTTATCAACTGTGTTGGACTTTGAGAATAATCCTCTATACAGAAATCATCAATTGAAATAGTTGAATAGTAAACAAGTTTAAAGTTTCCGAAAATCTGACCATAATCCCTGATCTATCACAGTTCAGCTGGCGCCGTTTTTTAATTTATCGCGAGAATTATTTGTTGTTGGGACTATCAAACGAAATACATATATTTTCTTATAAATAATTTCGTCACATTATGTATTAATTTCTCAACATCCAAGGTGTCCCGAATCAATAGACCCTTCACTACTCCCGTCAGTCAGTGAAATATCTAATTTAAACCACGACGCTTTGCGTTAAAAGAGCACAGAGCAGATCCGAGAGAGAGAAAGTCGATCTACTAAAAAAATGTCATCGAATAGAAACAAAACGACGTACTTTTCAAACGTAGCATAAATAACGGAATAAATTTCAAGCATAAAGATTTTCTTAAAAAAAAAAATTGCTACATTTTCCTTTTTATTATCCTTTGATTAATGTTTTTTCTACTACCTACTTATGGATAAAAACGGAACTCTAAGGCAGTGTACCTTCTGGCTGTGGATCGACTATCGAGACTGCCCATTCCATCGAAAGCTGCAAAGTTTCCATCCGGAAAACCGTTGTGAGAAGGAATAGGAGATGGCGGCCTAAAAAACCGGTTACATGTAAACAATTACACCATTTATTCGAGATCTTCGAAATTCCATCAATTTAAAATACTTACACGATATGAGACAGATTCAACGTTTTTTCCGGTTGTTCGGGAAACCTGGGAAAATGATTCTTCTGTTTGTCGGGCACGCATCGAAACGATTTTCTCAGCGACTGTCCAATCGTCTTATTGGGCGACTGAAAAACCACCGATATACAAAATATAATTTGTGTAAATGGCCTTGTCCCGAGATGGCTCTTTATAAGCTGAATTTTAACTATGTGTATACACAGTTAATTTTCCCAATACTGACTCCAAGAGAACGGTATAGAAAAACTATGATGTTGAATAGACTGAAATTGTCTTCATATTATATACTTTTTATTTAAGAAGAGTGATAGTATAACTGCGAGGAGTTATTTTCTTATGACATGAAAGTAGTTTAGCTCAGGTTTGGAGAGTACTTTATTAAAATATCTCAAAACTCTTCCTTGTCCTTTCTGCATCTGCGAAAGCACTCCTCCAATTTTCACATTACTGACATCAGCATCTAGAATGAATTCTTCTTCTGAATAAATTTCAATGAATTTCTATGAATTTTTATGAATTTTTATGAATTTTTATGAATTTTTTATGAATTTTTATGAATTTTTATGAATTTTTTATGAATTTTTTACAAAGATACGCATATTTTCCGTTAAATCTATATTTCATTAATATTACTGCGCATTAGTATTTGTCAATGACATATCAAGTTGCCTTATGCAAATCGCACCAATAATAGTAGAGATTGGCGTTGTCACTATGCATTAGCTGTCATATATTACATTAGTATATAATTTCCCCGACTTTCCCGCTTTTCCCATTCGAATCGAATGAATAATAACGGAGATATAATCCTTTTGGCTTTGTTACTGCGCATAATTTTTTTCCTTAACCATAATCTATGTCACATCTCCTTCTTAGTGTCTTTTGTCCCATGCAAATCAGACCAGTAACAGCCGAGATATTAACTAATGCTATTTTGGCATTGCCACTGCGCATTCTTCGTTGCCAACGTCACCTCTTCAGCTCCTTTTCTTCGTCTCCAGAGGCCTCTCCAACACTCCTTCTACTGAACCTACATCACTTCTTCAGTTACCAGTCTTTAATATTTGTTTTTGTCTTTTGTTAATAAACCTTTAGTTGCTATGGCCATCAGTATACTTTCATTATTAAAACTTTCTATAGTATAGACAGAATGCTGCAATAAGAATAAACCTACTCAAACTTAAGAAAAATCGTATACAGTGTACTCTCGGGACGAGGCCATTTACACAAACTATACATTACTCTAATGTATAGTTAAAAAAAAACAACAACACTCACAAATGAAGCATGTTCTTTGACTTGATGCTCCAAGATATGAGGAGACGACACTCTCCCTCTCCAAAAGCAGTCTTGACACAGCGTGTAATGCGGACATTTTTGACATCTGTAACGGAAGCCCGTGAAGTTTTCTCGTTGGCAAGCGTCGCATTGTACTGGGTGGATAACTAAAAGCGGAATGTAGCAGAAAATTCGCTTGCGTGTGACTAGTTTGACTTACCACTTTCGACATTGGCCAAACGATGTAACAACGGTAACCACACCAAGGCCGATGGACCCGGATCTGACATCATTACGTCTAAAAAGTCGTTTACTGTGACTTTTACGTTCTAGAATCGTAATAAACAGTAAATTTCATGACACAAACAGTATTATTGGTGAATATAACAGCTATGAGACTGGAAATTAGAAATTGGGGATTTCCTTATCAAACTGGCGCCCAACGTGGGGCGAAAATGAAAAAGGTTGTCAGTTGGGAACTAATAAATTTAATTTAAAAAGTCTAAGGGTTTATAGGATGATGGATTATAGAAATAGAATGTTTTGTAGGAGTTAATGTCGCCATTTCCGTCAAAACAGAGGCTTTAGTGGATGGAATTCTACAAAGAGGACATAGGTTAGTTCTGCATTCAATAAACGATTTATTGCGAGAGAAATATTCATCCATATATAATAAAGTGATGCTACTTTTAAACCCTCACGGTTCTAATATATTTTTAAGAATATCAGGGATATCAATTACATTCCAATTGAGTACACAAAAAACTGCACAGTAAATGTTAAATTACCGCAAAACAATCTAAAATGTACTGGAAATATAAAAAACACACTTAAAATAAAGTTCCGAATATAAAATTAAATATAACAAATATTTTCTTCTACCATTATTTGGTAATTGGGATAAATATATTTTTTATAATAAGTTATGCGAGTTATACCCAATAGGGAAGTAGCTAACGAGTAATTCCTTGCTCATTTAGGTTACTAGCTAACTAACAATATAAGGCGTTGACAAATCTTTCAAACTGGAGGTTGCTTCTATTATTTAGCTGAACGATTCTTTAGATATAATAGTAAAATATGGAGATACAAATTTATATCATGTTATGAAAAATCGGAAGTGCTATGGCACCCTTAAGATATATAAATATATATTTAAAAAAAAAGTGAAAAAAATATTATAATTACACGCCAAACGCTGAAGGGGGACGATGCAAAGTAGGTATGGAAGGGATAAGAAAGTGTTTTATAATTCAATTGTTTTGTATAATTTTTATGATTTATTCTTACCGGACTAAAAATAGAATTGGCAAGAGAATCGGTATAATTGAAAGTTGGAGATTCGTATACAGCAGCCGGAAGAGCCAGAACTTCCTGGAGATATTCGTTGAATCTCCATTGCAGCAATAGACCGTTACCGTCAGATATTTGAGAAAATATATCTAAAAACATCAATAATTACAATTTTCGTTAATACAGCTTTTTTTTTTTGATTACTTACAACGAAGTTTATCCATGAGTTTTCCAGCGCATAGTGTCGCTAGGGCGACTTTAATTGAGAATACTCTTATTTTACCAACATTATCTCTAAAAAAAAAAAAAAAAATTAAATACATGATTTTTATACTTTCCTTACAGGATATAGAAAAGTAAAAAGTTATCCCATTATTGTTGAATACTCTGTATAAAAGTACTTACACTGTAGCATAAGCAGCGAGGATCCAATTCAACAGCAAACTAACGCACACGTCCACGTGCGCTTGTTGAGTGGGCGGGGCTCTTTTATTTAAACTATGGTACAAGGAACAAAGCAAGGTTTCCAAACGAGCCACGCTCAATTCCTGAGACGGCTCTAAAGCGTGCAAACCTTGTTCTCTAAAGGCTTCTATTACGTTCCAAATATCGACAGCGTGCACTGTAAACCAATGTTTACATTCAAAAAAAGAGTCGTTGGGCGTGTTAGGTATATACAAGGTTGTTTTTAAAATGTTCAAGGCTATTTAAAGGTTATTTTGATAAGCATAAGGTTATTCTAATGAAGTTTAAGTTAATTTCAATAAAGTTAGAGGATATAAAACAATTTTAGAATGTAAATTACTAAAAAAAAAAAAAAGATTTTATTACTACTATGTAACAGGAGTATCCCCTGTGAAACAGAGATAGCTTATTAATGCCTATCTTCTTAAAGAATTGAGTAGTGCCATCAGAATTTTGAAAGATTCAAGGTCGTTTTAAACGGTTCAAGGCTAGCATTTACCAAAATTACATTACATTTTATTTATGACACAAAAAACAAAGAAAGGCTTGTAAACCTTGTTCTTTAAAGGCAATTATATTTTAAATATCAACAGCGTGCACTGCAAACCAATGTTTACATTCAAAAAATTGTCACAGATCGTTTTAGAAAAGTTTAAGGTTATTTCAAGATTATTTTAATAAAGTTTAAGGTGGTTTAAATAATGTTAAAGTTGTTTAAAGACAGCACAAAGTCATTTAAAAAAGGTTAATAATATTTAAATGTTATTTGGGTAAGCTTAAGGTTATTTTAATGAGGTTAAAGGTAGTTTCAAAAAGGTTAATCAAGGTCATTTGTCTTTTTAGAAAAGCACAAGGTCATTTTAAAAATTTTAAGGCTATTTAAAGGTTTATTATTTTAAGAAAGTTTATTTAAGGCTATTTAAGATTATTTGGATAAGAATTAAAGTTATTTTAATGAATTTTAAGGTATTTTCAATAAATTTAGAGTCATTGTTCATATTAGGAAAATACAAAATCATTTTAAAAATGTTTAGGCATATTTCTACATTATTTTTATAAGTTTGAGGTTATTTTAATGAAGTTAAAGGTAGTTTTAGTAATTTTATGAAATTACAAGGTCATTTAAAAAGTTTCAGGCTATTTGGATAAGCTTAATGTTATTTTTATGAAGTTTAATGTAGTTTTAATAAAGTTTAGATCATTGGTCGTTTCGGGTCATTATTAAAAAGTTTAGAGACATTTCTACGTTATTTGGATAAATTTAAGGTTATTTTAATAAACTTTAAGGTAGTTTCAATAAAGTTAAGATCACTAGTTATTTTAGGAAAGCACAAGGTCATTTAAAAAAAGTTTAAGGCTATTTAAAGGTTATTCAGATAAGCTTAAGGTTATTTTAATGAAGTTTAAGGTATTTTAAATAAAGTTAAGGTCATTTGTCGTTTTATAAAAAAACAAGGTCATTTAAAAAAGTTTAAGGATCTTTGAAGGTTATTTGGATAATCTTACAAGTTATTTTAATTAAGTTTTATGCAGTTTCAATAAATTAAGGTCATTATTGGTATTAGGAAAGCATAAGACAATTTTAAAAAAGTTTAAGGAGATCTAAATGTTATTTAGATAAGGTTTGTTATTTTAATGAAGTTTAATGTGGTTTTAATAAAGTTAAGATTAATATTCATTTTAGAAAAGCCTAAGGTAATTTTAAAAAAGTTTAAGGATATTTAAAGGTTATTAGGTAAGCTTAAGGTTATTTTAATGAAGTTTAAGGTAGGTAGTTTTAATAAAGTTAAAGTCATTGGTCTTATTAGGAAAGCACAAGGTAATTTTAAAAAGTTTAAGGCTATTTAAAGGATATTTGGATAAGATTAAGGTTAGTTTATTGAAGTTTAAGTTAGTTTTAATAAAATTTAAGGTAGTTTAAATGTAGTTAAGGTAATTGATCGTTTCAGAGAAGATAATTTTAAAAATGTTTAGGGATATTTCTGTTATTTGGATAAGCTTGGGGTTATTTTAATGATATTTAAGGTAGTTTCAATAAAGTTACTTTTAGGAAAGCACAAGGTCATTTAAAAAAAGTTTAATGACATTTCTACTTTATTTGGACAATCTTAAGGTTATTTTAATAAAGTTAAAGTCATTTGTCGTTTAAGAAAAGCACAAGGATATTTCAAAGTTATTGAGGTTATTTTAATGAAGTTTAAGGTAGCATCAATAAAGTTAAGGTTATTGCACAAGGAAAGCACAAGGCCATTTAAAAAAGTTCAAGGCTATTTAAATGTTATTTGGATAAGCTTAAGGTTATTTTAATTAGGTTTATGACAGTTTTAATAAACTTATAAATGGAAAAAGATTAAGGTATGAAACAAAAACGAGGTGAAATTAGAGATATATTTTTGTTATAAAGAGATGTACTTTATTTGAGACATAAGATATAGGACGTTATTATATTTATTTTTAATGAAAAGTAGGGTCATATGATACTTCATTTTAAAGATATTTTCATTATATTTACATCCATGCAAACAGTTTTAGGTTCTTTTTAATGTTTATACAGAAATTACATTAAATAAATTAATAAAGTTAGTTACATTCTTGGAAACACTCAAAAGATGTAGTTTTAAAAAGTATTTTTTTTTTTCAATAACTTATTAGGGATTGGAAAATAAAATGAATAATAACACGTTTTATATTATTGAATTGACTGTAGTTGTGGACAAAAAATTGACTGTGTAGATTTTCTTTGTACACCCACAATTTCACTTCCTTTTCATTTCATGTCTTTATCTTATTTCATTTAGAAGAGGGAAAGGCACAAATTACGTCCTCACTGTTATAATGGTTTAAAAATGTAAATTACTTTAGCAAAGTTCAAAGTAGCAGTAAAAAAAGAAGATTTTAGTACTAGATAATGCCATTATCCACTGTGAACGCAAATATGGCTTGTTAATGCATGTCTTCCTAAAAGACTGAGTAGTAGGAGACTTAGAATTTCAAAAGATCAAAGGTCATTTTAAAATACATTGCATTTTAGTTTCTTCTGTAAAAGTGTTAGGTATACTCACAGCTAACTTTTTTCTGTATGAATCTCAATTTTGTGGCTGTCCTATACGAAGCAAATCTAATTAAATCAAAGTTATGGGCACTCATTTCGTGAACTAAAGCTAATTTGTGGTCTAAAGACCCTGAAAGGCCTTCTGGACCCTGCATGCCTGAAATAGATTAACAATTATTAATAACAAGTACCAATTTTAACCCAAAAACTGTATATGTACTTGTAATATACCAATTGTGTACCTTAGAGGTAAAGAAACTTATCTGGAGTCTAATAGATTTGGAGAAAATGGGATTTAACATTGGAAATACTTTATGCCTCTTTGAAAACTGAAAATACTATTTTTTTAGACGTATTTTATCAGAAAGTAGTACTATACAATTTTCTACCACTAAAAATATAAGTTTTAGGTATTTTAATACAAAACTGTTGATACAATTATTTACCTCCGAGATACAGCATTATAATGTACATTTTAGTATAGGTACTCATAGTTTTAAACTCAAATTACAATAATGGTAATTATTCAAACAAAAAACATTTATATTACATAGGAAGACACGAAAGAAAATAAATGGTGCCCTAAAACTATAAGTGTAGTCATACAAAAGAAATATTTAATCTATAAGCTTTTGCAATAATTAGGAAATTATTCTAGATATATAATATGGACGATAAATAGTTTTTTTATCGTTTTTAAATGTCTTATTGCTATTTAATAGCCAAATTTTATTTAAAAATGTATTAGAATAATTGATACATGCATGGTCTTCTTATCATATATTTATGCCCAGTGTGTAGCTAAGTGAATAATTTTATTTACTATTAAAGAGAAAAGTAATCTAACTGATTCTCTTAATAGTTTATTAAGAATAAGACATACACTAAGTCTTAACAATCATTTATGTGTAAATTAATTATTCAATTTAAAAACAGGCTCAAAATTAACAACACAAATACTTAATTTTCATTGAATATCTTTCCTATAAGATAACCTATAATTATTATTGATCTAATTAAACTCCACTTTAGCTTTCAGTCTTTATTAGTTATTAGATCAAGCTAGAAAAGCTACAAAAACAACATTATTTTGATCAATTAAAAAAGTCAATAATAATTTAAATCCTATTATGAAATATGAACTGAAAGCAATTAAATTGCGCCTACGACAGTTGAAAACAGAAAATAAATCATGCAGCATAGTTGAAATCAATCCAAATAATAATTCAATTTTCGTATTCGAATGTGAATACAAGAAAATGTACTTTTGGAAAATTAAGTGAATTTTTGAATTACGACAAAGATATAATTGAGCGGAAGCTTTAATTAATTAAGATAATAACGAAACTTACTGCAACTATTTCTTTTATAACTAAAAACTAAACACTCAATCTTATTTATAAGTTGTGATCAATAAACTTGCTGATAAAACTGGGACAAGAACCAGAACTACCCACCCACCATAAATACAAGACTTTCTCTAGCGGTTAGACTGAAAAGGAGCTACTTCGGTGACGATCAAGACGATGTTGCCCGATCGGCAGCGGTCGAGTGACAGTTTTCTTCATAAAGGCTAGAATTTTCTTTAAGTTTAATGTTTTAATAAAATTAAACAATATTTAAAATAACAAAATGTATATTGTATTCAGAAAATTGTCAACAGTAAACTTAATAGACAATATTTTCGATTTTCAACTGGATTTTGCGTAATTTTATAATCAATAAATATTGTTTTCTCGAATCGCAGAGCTCAGGAGAATTCGAATAGTTTTGCATAATATTAAATGTGTATAGGGTAGTTTAGTGGATATTTTTGGTTAAAAATGGTCCAATCTGAATAAATTTTAATACGATGTTTTTAACACTTTCACTGCCACCGAAATGCTAGTGCGTTTTATTACATGCCTTGTTTTTATTTTTTATTTATAATAGGTTATTATTTTAAGTATGTAACTGGTTACTTTTTAATACAATATACATTATATTTATACTTATTATTGGAACTATATTGAAATAATGCAAAAAGGGTCTAATTTAAAAAAAATTAAGGTTAGGTACTTCTGACCACAGATTTGAATAGAGGAGATAGGAAAAATAGTGACCTACGCATTTACGCATTGATTGCATATTGAAGTGTACAGGATAGGACTAACACATTTAAACATAATTCGAAAATATTAAGGATTTAATTACACAATAAAACTAATAACCATAAAAATTCGTAATAGAATTCTTTTTATGTAGTTTAAGAGATTTCTAAAAATAAAAACATCATAGACTTTTTTGAAACTTTATTTAAAATTAAATAAAAACAATAGATATTTAAAATCCCATTTCATATGAAATGAATACAACAATCCAAAGCCGTAATATATTTTATAGCAAATAAATCTGGAGTCACGTGATTTAAACAGAACTTTTTCATATTAAAAACTATAATTAGAGACAAATGGTATATCAGAAATTTTGAATCTAAAATTTTATTAAAAGAACAGCATAGGGATTCTTATGTGCGAAGTCGTCATGATTCGTACAGAATAGAGAAAAACATTACATATAATTACATAAGAATAGCAGCCTGTTGAAGGAAGATAGGCGTCTCGATACGTGAGGTACCGAAAGATGAGTATATCCTACTGCTAGACTAATAAACGTGGTAGGTTTTTATTTATTTAATTTTTTTACATGTATTGGTTTGGATCACAATAAAATTAAAAGTTTGTTAGTCCAGTCCTTTCAATAAAATTTTAGAATTAAAATTTTTGAAATAACATTTATCTCCAATTTACAAACTAATGACTTTGGACTATAAGTATTACATACATTTTTGTACTCGTCTATTATTGTGAAATTCAAAAATAAAGAAAAAAATAATATCAGGTTGTTCTATTTAAAAAACAAAATCGATGATGTCATGTACACGAAAGTGGTGACGTCATTAGTACATCCAATTGTAGTGTTGGACGCAGAGAGAAGACATTAACAGAGTGACAATTCTAATACAAATTTCTGGAAGCATGTTCCATGCGCGTTGACTGTGGCGACGCGCTTGGCAACGAGCGCGAACTAGATATTTACCGGTAACGCAGATTTTCTTTAATTTAAATTTAGGCGGCAGCATTGAAAAACTTAGCAATACGAATTTGTAACTTTGTACACAAACTCGATATTTTTTGCAAAATTGCAAAAAATATCGATTTAGGTACAATGTTACAAACTCATTTACTACAAATTTATATTTTGTAAAGGTAATGTCATTAAACAGAAGGTATTAAGTAAATGTACATAAAGAACACATTTTTTATTGCAGCAGTGACACAAAAAATCTAAAAAATCATTAAAATCACTCACAAAATACTGAAATAAAAAGAAAAATTCTATGGTTTCACAAAATAGTAAAAAAATCACTTAAGTCACAGTAATTTTAAAAACCATTGCTTTTACTTTATTTGTCAAGAATATATTGTTGCATAATTTTAAATAAACTGTTGGATATTTTAGTACCATTTAATATTCATAAATATAAGGAAGTATTTCAAGCTTTAAAAAAGAAAACATTCAGAAAACGCCAAAAGATAATATATGAATATGAGATTGCTATTTAAAACTATGATAACTTTAATATTATAATATTCATCTCTTTACATTGTACCTAAAAAGTAACTCCAATTTTTAGTCGCCAGCACATAAAATTGCCGTAGCATCCTGACCTGCAGTGGATTATCATCTTTCAATACAGCATATTATGTTGAGACACCTATCTTCATCAACAGACTGCCATTCTTATGTAATGTTTTTATCTATTCAACACGTAACGTGTTAAGTTCGCACATATAAGAATCCATGTTCTGATCTATTCATTCTGAATTCCTTTTATCATAGCATCCATCCCCTCTTGTCTTGGGTTTGGAAGTTTGGACATGATTAAACTGAAATAAATACAGAAATTGGTTAGGCCACGTTGCATGGACTGATATATAGATAATAAGGATTTACACATAGTGTGAAGTATAACAAAAAAACTACTTTATTAAAAATTTGTAGTAGAAATATATTTATTTCCTACCTTAATATATTCAATTCATGTAGTAAACACGATTAAATAAATTTCCAGAATTTTATTTACTTATAGGTTATGTTAATTGTTGAAATTATGGAACAAGGTACAAACAAATAGCATTTATAAGACATTCCACTGATTACGCTATTGGTTGAAATGTGACATGAACGATTGAAATATGATAATGACCAATTATAAGTGACTGTCATAGTTTATGGTCGTTGAGTAAGAACTACCTTCACGTAATTGTCACTAGTGTCAGTCGTTTATAGTTCAATGTTGAACCACCATGCGCGATGCGCAACGAGTGCCAAAAATCGGTCCAAAACGCGTAGACAAGTTTTGTATATGAATGTAACCATCTGCTATGTCTTATCTCTGGTTGGACGCGCTGATGAAAATAAAAATTGACCTGTGAAGGCATATTGTTAAAATACTGTTAGACTGAAAAATATAGAATTTATTCCAACCTATACATCCTCACTGTATATAATTTGAGAGTGAATATGAACCTCAAAATGAATTTGAAAGGCGATTGTGGTATCTGCTGCATTTTGATGTTGAGATGTAATGTGTTAAAAGTTCTTCCGTGCAATCCCTTTTTTCATTTTACTTGCTCAGAAAGAATCATCAGCATCTATAAAAGGCTATTTAATACGATGTACAGAATGTTCAGGTGTGCTTTCTGTATAGAATATGGGAATAGTATTATGTAGATTTATTTTGATATACAAATGATACAAATACACATCGTTAAAAATTTGTTAGAAACCTGAAATGTCAAGTGCTAACTGTGTCAGTCGAATAACGATAAAGATGCGCTACAATGTCGAACCCTAGATTGTGCTTGCTGTATGCACACTGCTAGATAATTTGAATTATAAAAAACGCTGCCCAAAATCAATTCAGAACCAAAAGGGCTTTGTCATCGAGCAAGAGAATTTTGAGACGGTAAAAACTGCACACTGTCATCTGTTTCTTTCGATCGCAATATCGATCATAGAAATTAGGAATAATGTCCAAGGGTAGGCAACTTTATATACACATGTGTATACCGAGTTGTCGCAGTAGTAGGGTGTTACAAATCTAAAAAATGTGATAAAGAATACGGTTCTGGTAAAAAAGATGTCTTACTTGTGAAATGTAATGTTTCCTGAAACCTCGTTGTTTAAACAACCAAGAACAAAGCACGTCTTTCCCATTTTATTAATGGTCTTAGTAAAAAAATTTAAAATTCTTTTAAATTCACTAAAATAGCGAATTTCGAATAAAACCAAGACGAGTTGACATAAATGACACTTTTGTCGAAAAAAATACAGCAACTGCGCATGTGCGTGGTAAGCTTAAATTGCAAACATGGCATGCTTATTTTGAAACACCGGGGAAAATGGCCTTTTCCTATCTCCTCTATCCAAATCTGTGGTTTTGATTTATAATTTTGTTTTCATAATTATGGGGTTTTTAAAAAAATATAATCAGAAGTATTAAACTAATCTATAATTATTGGTTATTCTGCACTGAGAGACTATTATAAATGTCTTTTTTAGCAAGTAAGCGACTTGCATCTAATTTGGAACAAACATGCTAGGCATTATTTTGAATTGACACTTAAACAAAATGGTCGACTTCCGGTTTTAACGCGCCATTATGATTTTTTAAATGGATGACCCTGTATATTGTTTTTTGAATCTACTAGCACGGCACTTGCCTGTAAATAAACAACTTGAAAATTCAATAATAAATAAATATTTGACTTAAAATTTTGACCCAAGCAAGGGCGGCTCCAAGGGGGGGGCTATGAGGGTCATGCCCCCCAGAGATGAAAATTTTTAGGATTTGTGGGCCTTTTATTAAAAAAAAAATATGCTAAAAAAGAATGGCAAAAGGCAATGCCCCCCCCGAAAATTCGTCTTGAAGCCGCCCTCGGATAAGAAATTTCGATGTTCTAAATTTTGAGATGTGGCAACATTGGTATATATTTTTCACGTCATCTATCGAGTAGATACAGAAATTGTTCATAAATGATTTTTGCAGTTGAGAAAGAGTAAATGAAGGAACAATAAAAATACATTTTTAATATTAAATAAGATATTTATTATACATATTTATAAAAATAAATTTCTTTTAACACCATTCATCGTTTATTTTTTCTATTCTTTTTATTCTTTTCAACCCCTTTTTTGGTATTCGTTAGTTTATAACTAATAGGATGTCCGGTTTGTTTTTCCCGATTTTTCGGCTTAAACAACCGCCTATTTTTATGCTTCTCTTGCGAATTCTTCGGCGCCGCGCCCTTGACCAAATCCAAAGCGTTTTCGTTGTTTTTAGCTTCATTAAACGACCCCAAAGCGCTTGAATACAACGGATGTTTCCCGCTAAAACCTTTAGGAATAATCGGCATGCTTAACAGCGAAGCCAACTGTTTCTTTTTGAAGTCCAATAATTTTTTGTATCTTTGGGTTTCTTTTGTATCGTATTTTCTTGAACTAGAGGCAACGTTAAGGAAATTTATTCTTTATTCAAACTTTAATATTTATAATTTTAATGGTCCTTCGAGCCGCAAAAATATGAACATTATTGTTTTTTTTTTTAGGAAAAAAGGATACAAATCATCTACGATCACGTCCATGTCATCAGCGGCTTTTTGAAGCCAGCCCATTTCTGTATTGGCCTTTTTTACTTGCAATTGCAGTTTATCCAATTCTCTGGCTAGATTTATCATCTTCTTAACAGCGTTCAAAATGTTCTCTTGTACCGGGAATATCGGCATGTCTTCGGCTGCAATTAATTTGTAATGACTTTTATATTTGATCTGAAAGCAAATCTAATATCTTATAATTTAGGTAAATATTTTTGACAGATAAGAGAACTGAAAATTGAAGTTAGAAAATCGTAAATAATGTCAAATCGAAATCCAGAAAGTCAGAGAAATATCTGAAAAAGTGTTTAGAAAGGGGATAAAGGGACGAAATTTAATAAACATTCATGTATATATTAATTTTTCTATGAAAGAAACGGAATAATAAAATAAAATTTGTGACAAAATGTTAAGAAACTTGAAATCGTTTTAGGAAACTTGACAAGTGCTTAGACAGGGGATGAAAGGGCAAAATTTAATAAAAACCCATTTTGCTACAAAAGAAACAGAGCATTGAAATAAAATTAGTGGCGAATTGTCAAGAAACTTGAAACATATCAAAGGAAAATCGACAAAAATATGAAAAAAGAGATGAGGGGGTGAATTTTAATAAAAATCCATTAAAAATTAATTTTGTTGTGAAAGAGCATTGAAATAAAATTAGTGGCAAATTGTTAAGAAACTTGAAATACATCGCAGAAAAATCGATAAAATGTTTAGAAAGGGGATGAAGGGGGTCATAATTAATAAAAGTCAATTTATACATTAATTTTATTATTAAGGAAAGGAGTATTGAAAGAAAATTAGTGTCAAATTATCAAGAAATTTAAAATGCATCCTAGGAAAATCGACACACATTTTTAAAAAGGGGATAAAAAGGTAAAATTTAATAAAAATCCATTAAAAATTAATTTTCTTGTGAAGGAAATGGAGTATTGAAAAAAAAATTAGTGGCAAATTGTTAAGAAATTTTAAATACATCGTAGGAAAATCGACAAGTGTTCAAAAAGGAGATAAAAAGGTGAAATTTAATAAAAATCCATTAAGAATTAATTTTGATGTGAAGGAAATGGAGTATTTAAATAAAATGAGTGACAAATCGTTAAGAAACTTGAAATACATCATAGAAAAATCGAAAAGTATTTAAAAAGGGGATAAAAAGGTGAAATTTAATAAAAATCCAGTGAAAATTAATTTTGCTGTGAAGGAAATGGGGTATAAAAATAAAATTAATGATAAATTGTTAAGAAACTTGAAATATATCGTAAAAAAATCGACAATATTTAAAAAGGGGATGAAGAGCGTGAAATTCAATAAAAACTTATTTTGCTATAAAAGAAATGGAGCATTGACATAAAATTAGTGGCAAATTGTCAAAAAACTTGAATCATATCGAAGGAAAATCGACAAACATGTTTAAAAAGGAGATGAAGGGGTGAAATTTAATAAAAATCCATTAAAAATTAATTTTGTTGTGAAGGAAATAGAGTATTGAAATAAAATTAGTGACAAATTGTTAAAAAAAAATTAAAAAAGGGACGAAGGGGTGACATTTAATAAAAATCAATGAAAAATAAAATCTGCTATGACATAAATGGAATTTTGAAATAAAATTAACGGCAAATTGTTAAGAAACTTAAAATACATCGGTGGATAATTGATAAAATGTTTAGAAAGGGAATGAAGGATGTAATAATTAATAAAAGTCAATTTATACATTAATTTTACTATTAAGGAAAGAAAATTAGTGGCAAATTGTCAAGAAACTTGAAATTCATCGTAGGAAAATGTTTAAAAATGGGACGAAAAGGTGAAATTTAATAAAAATCCATTAAAAATTTTATAAGAAATTTATAAGACATTTACAAGAAATTTATAAGACATTTATAAGAAATTTATAAGAAATTTATGAGAAATGTGTAAGAAATTTGTATATATTGTAGAATTCATATTAATTTAAATAAATATAGTTAAAAAATTTATAGGAAATTTATAAGAAATCTGTAAGAAATTTATAAGAAATCTGTAATAAATTTATAAGAAATTTATTAGAAAAATATAAGAAATTTGTAAGAAATCTGTAAGAAATTTGTATATATTGTAAAATTCATGTTAATTTAAATATAGTTAAAAAATTTATAAGAAATTTACAAGACATTTATAAGAAATTTATATGAAATCTGTAAGAAATTTGTAACAAATTTTTAAGAAATGTGTAAGAAATTTGTACGAAATTTGTATATATATTGTAGAATTCATATTAATTTAAATAAATATAGTTAAGAAATTTATAAGAAATTTATAAGAAATTTATAAGAAATTTATAAGAAATTTATAAGAAATTTATAAGAAATTTATAAGAAATTTATAAGAAATTTATAAGAAATTTATAAGAAATTTATAAGAAATTTATAAGAAATTTATAAGAAATTTATAAGAAATTTATAAGAAATTTATAAGAAATTTATAAGAAATTTATAAGAAATTTATAAGAAATTTATAAGAAATTTATAAGAAATTTATAAGAAATTTATAAGAAATTTATAAGAAATTTATAAGAAATTTATAGGAAAGTAATTTGCATGAAATTTGTATGAATTTGTAAGAAATCTGGTAAGAAATTTGTATATATTGTAGGATTCATGCTAATTTAAATTAAATAAATAGTTATAGATAAAAATTATGAAAGCAAATCTACCTTTTCCTAGAGTCCTACACAGTTTTATATATCTTCGAATTTCAGTGGGTTCTATAAATACAACAGATATGCCTTCACGTGATGCTCTTGCGGTTCTACCTGATCTATGTACGTAATTCTCACTCGTTCTAGGCGTTTGGTAATGCAACACGTGATCTATTTGGGGGATATCTAGACCCCTAGCGGCGACATCTGTCGCTATTAGAATGCTGTTTTCGATACTACTAAATCTGTAAAAAATAAATAGAATAAGTATAAAAAATGATATTACGTCTGTAATTATACATGGTGGCCACTTTTTAACTGGAGGAAAAAAGTTGCTGTAATCACAAAAAATGTAAAAATTAAGACAAATAAATATATTTTTCGTTCACATACCTTTCAATGTTTTTCAAACGTTGCCGTTGCTGCATGGAAGCGTGCAAAGGAAGCGGATGACAATTGAGAAGCGTCAATAATGCTGTCAATCTCTTGACGCAACCGATAGAGTTGCAAAACACCAAAGTCCTACCGGGATGTCTTTTGATGAAATAAAACAGGTACAAATCTTTTTCGTCGATCCTGCAAGTTATTCTGGATTCGGTAAGCGTTTCAGAGGTGCCTACAAAATTCAATTTTTTATTACTTGTAAATCGTGCCTTAAAAGTTTTTTCAAAATCCCTGAATCTAAAATTCAACAAACCTACTTTGAATATTTAAGATTAAACACAGTAAATTTACTGACAAAGTTTTAGTTTTACTAGTTTCGACCTAGCAGGGTCATCATCAGGCCTAGAAAGAAATAAACTGCTCTAGCAGGTTGAGAGAAGAAACTACAAACATGTTTAACCTTATTTATGTTGTTGTATCTAATACATCTTGTTAGATTTGAGCATGGATGATCTTCTTCATTTATTTTAAATTAAATTTGGATTGTAAAAAGTTTAAAGTGGTTTTATTTAAAAGATGAATGGTTATTTTTAAATGGTTATACCTAATCCAAATTTAATTTAAAATGTGGCTTTTCAATTAAATGCAGATTAGAAAAAATTTAGACTGGATGTAAGATGATTGGCTATTTAAAAATTGTTATATTTCAAATTTATTTAAAATGGCGGATTTTAAAACTAAATTTGGATTTAAGAAGCAGTTTTATAAGATGAATGCTTATTTTTAAATTGTTATAATTCAAATTTAATTTAAATTGGTGCATTTCAATTAAATTCGGATTAAAATTTAATTTAAATTGCTGATTTTAAATTAAATTTGGATTATAAGAAGTTTAAAGTGGTTTTATAAGATGAATGTTTGTTTTAAATTGTTATAATCCAAATTTAATTTAAACTGGGGCATTTTAATTAAATTCACATTCAAATTTAATTGAAATTGAGGACTTTAAATTAAATTTGGATTATAAGAAGTTTAAAGTGATTTTAAGAGTTATCTTTAAATTATTATAATCCCAATTTAATTTAAATTGGTGCATTTTAATTAAATTCAGATTTATAAGAGTTTAAAGTAATTTGTTAAGATGCATGGTTATTTTAAAAGTGGTTTTGTAAGATGGATGGTTATTTTTAAATTGTTATAATCCCAATTTAAATTGGTGCATTTCAATTAAAGTCAGATTATAAGAAGTTTAAAGTGGTTTTATAAGATTAATTGTAATTTTTAATGTGTTACAATTTAAATTTAATTTAAACTGGTACATTTTAATTAAATTCATATTCAAATTTAATTCAAATTGAGGATTTTAAATTAAATTTGGATTATATTAAGTTTAAAATGGTTTTATGAGTTGTTTTTAAATTATTATAATCCCAATTTAATTTAAATTGTTGCATTTTAATTAAATTCAGATTATAAGAAGTTTAAAGTAATTTTATAAGACGTATGGTTATTTTTAAAGTGGTTTTGTAAGATGGATGGTTATTTTTAAATTTTTATAATCCCAATTTAATTTAAACTGGTGCATTTCAATTAAATTCATATTATAAGAAGTTTAAAGTGGTTTTATAAGATGGACGGTTATTTTTAAAGTGGTTTTATAAGATGAATGTTTGTTTTTATATTCTTATAATCCAAATTTAATTGAAATTGGTGCATGCACGGTTATTTTTAGAGTGGTTTAATAAGATTAATGGTTATTTTTAAAATGTTTTAATTCAAATTTAATTTAAACTGATGCATTTCAATTAAATTCAGATTATAAGAAATTTAAAGTGGTTTTATAAGAGGAATGGTAATTGTTAAATTGTTATGATTTAAATTTAATCTAAACTGGTGCATATTAATTAAATTTGGATTTTATTCAAAGTTTAAAGTGGTTTTACAAGATACCTGGGTATTTTTAAATTGTTTTAATCCAAATTAAATTCAAATTGAGTATTTTAAATTAAATTTGGATTATAAAAAGTTTAAAGTGGTTTTATAAGACGAGTTATTTTTAAATTATTATATGTACAATTTAATTTATATTGGTGCATTTTAATTAAATTCAGATCATAAGAAGTTAAGAGTAATTTTATAAGATGGATGGTTATTTTTAAAGGGGTTCTATAAGCAGAATAGTAATTTTTTTAAATTGATATAATTCAAATTTAATTAAAACTTTTTTCTTGTTAACTGTTACCTTTTCCCTCTGAAATATCGACTATTTTCGGATCATTCAACCCCAACGCGTCCACGATTTTTTTCAATTTCTGTTCGGGAGTCATGTTAGCGATCTTTTTAGATTTAATTTGGCCTTTGTTTTTCAAATAATTCGGCAAATCGTGCACCAGAGTTAGAGTGGCGGAAAATACAAAATTTTGACGTAGTTTCAATTTGTCTTTGTCAAGATTGATGCGTTCTAGTAAATCGTTCAGTTCCTGAAAGTGGCCCTTTTCTAGCATACGATCGGTTTCATCTATAGCCAAAAATCTAAAAAAAAAAAATAATGTTAATTTTCAATATAAGAACATTATATTAAATTTATTATTTATTAAATAATATATTCGGTTTCAAGTACATTTGGTTTACCTAATATTATCAATTTGAGACAGATGTAAATTGCCTTGCTGTATTAATTCCCACAATCGTCCAGGGGTGGCCACTACTATTTCAGGCCCTTTAGATAAAATTCTTTCTTGTTTTACAGCTGCCATGCCACCCACCACAACAACTACATTTATTCCTAAAAAAAAGTATTTGTATAAAAAAATTGATTTTTTTTTAACTCAATAATATTATAGCCTACATTAAAATATATTTTAGGTGAATTGCTGAGGCTACCTACCTGTGAATCCTCATTTTCTAACACTATGATTCCAAAAATAAAAAAGTGAGGTCCTATGCTTATGTATGTTTTTGAATTATTAATTAAAAATTTAAAAAAAAAACGACTTCAAAAACGTGTAGATGCCATCACCACATCTTAACCAAATTTATATGGGACCACCCCCGAGGTTCCCCCTTACTAACAAAAAAAAGAATCATATAAATCAGACAAGGTGGTAAAGTATTATCGCTAAACATACATAAAAAATTAAGAGTTTGAGGATTTTCTCCAGGACCCAATTATTAGATTTTGACCAAATTTATATGGGACCACCCCTGAAGTACCCCCTTTCTAACAAAGAAAGAATCATTGAAATCGGACACGGTGTTAAAGAATTATCGCTGAACATAAAAAAAATATTGCCAGGAATTGAGGACCTCCTCCTTTTTTGAAGTCTGTTAAAAATTAAGAAGTTAAAAGTAATCTAGGTAAGTACTATTTGCAGAATAAGGAGCAGACATTGTTTGAATAGGATAGGAATAAAGGAAAATGATAGATGTAGATGTGAAGAAAGCAAATATTACAATATTTTTTTATTTCTCAAAATTACTTTATACATTTTTAGAGAGTTTAGATACCTCGAAAAATTATATAGTACCTGTTACACGTTTTGATATATTTATTGTTACTATCTTTCAGAAATGGTAAAGATATCAAAATGTATGCCAATGTCTATTATTAATCAATCATCACAAATGTAGGTCAATAAATAATAAAAAAATAACCCACCTGTATACTTGGCAATCGCAGTTATATGATTCTTTATTTGCATGGCCAATTCTCTAGTTGGTGTTAAAATGAGAGCATACAGTGGTTTCAAGTTTACTGTTTTCTTTAAATCCAAATCCGTTTCATTAATACTATCTTCAATATCGGATTCATCAGAGATGTCATCCTTTACAAGTGAAGATTCAGTTTGATTTTCTTTTAATCTTAAAATTCCCATTAGTATCGGCAACCCAAATGCCAGAGTTTTTCCACTGCCTGTTTCAGCTGCGCCCACAATATCTTTTCTACCTAAAATTGCGGGAGGTAAAGTCAGTTTTTGAATAGCAGTGGGCTCTGAAAATCCTAATTCTCCGATAGCTCTTAAAATTGTGGAAGGAAAACCAAAACTGGACCAAGCATCTAAATTGCATTGTTTTGTTTCACTTGAAACAGATGTTTCTTCGATTTCTGAAGTATTTCCGTTTTGAGAGGGCCTGAAATCATTTTCTTGGATTTTTTGTTTTTTCTTTGGCTGGTTTTGTATTTCGGTTTTTCTTTTTTTCTTTAAAACTGTACCATTATCGACTACTGTTAAATTTGTTTCTACACTCTGAAAAAGTTATTTGTCAAAGAGAATTCACGTATAATTAAAATCACTTACCCCTTTTTTATTAAATTCATTTTGTCCATACTCCGTGCATTCTTCTATGCCGATTAATCCTTCAGCAAATAATTTTCTATCTATTGGAACAGGCTTCCACTTGGCATTAATAACGTTCATTTTAAATCGTTAATAATACCCTAAAAAGACATTTAAAATTATTGAATTCAAAATCAAAATCCAAATAAACCTACCCTACAAAAATGTGAGAAAATCTAAGGTTATAGTTTTCTTCTTTTTATTAAAAAAGTCTGTTTCTGATTAATTTTGTAAACATCGTCTGGATTTAGTAAAATAATAAAAAAATAGAACTGCGGCGATGATAATTTGTTTTAGATAAAATTAAAACGATAATTTAAAAATAGTAATGAAATTAAAAAAGTATTACCTACTCATATAAAATTTATTTAAATAGCTAATACCTATGTAAGATATAAAACAATGGTTTTATTTGCCATGCTAATACTAGATGGATTTTGACTTATTTCTTAAAATTACCAAGAATTCATGAAATATTTTGCAACAAAAATAATTTCATCTTGTCGTAAATGTGAATAAATAAATAATTCCCAAAAGAATATATTTTTAAAAGTTTTCTATTAAAGTCCATCCTGTATACTCTTTGTATATCTACCAAAGACCTTCTATAACTAGATTAGAAATTCAAAACTAACTGGAATGTTTTAGTTTGATGCAAAGATATGACAACACTATAGATAGAGATTCGGGCCGTGTACATCGTACATGTTTCCTTTTTACCAAATTATTATGAGAGGGTCTCGCTACAAGGATTTTTTATGGTTATAATTCGGAATTGACTTAATATAAGGCTCTAAAACACACAAAAGGCATTCAAAATTACATTAAGGAAGTATATTTGCATTCTTAATGTCATTTATCAGTTTAATTCTTTTTCTAGTGTAGCTGAAGGTGATTTACAAAAAGCACACTGTTTATTTTACGGTGTAGAGTAGAAATTATAGCACAGTGTCTAGGTACACGCTAACTTGTACCCAATTCAAAAAGTTATATACACGCGAAACGTCTTGACAGAGTAGGTGAGCTGCGTCCATGCCGGTCGGTGTAGCCAGCTACGGATTGAAATTTTCTGGTGGCGGCGAAGCCGCCACCCTACGAGAATTCGTTGCTTCATTTTCTTGTTGTCACGGCATTATTATTATTTGTTCATGTATGTGAAATTTGCTTCTAAGGTTTATAAAATACTTCTGTTAGCTGCTAGTCACGACGTAAATGAAAACAAACAACATGCATTCACACAAACACCTCCCACCACAGCAATATGACGTTTCGCCTGTATATAATTTTTTGATGTGTGTACATTTTAGCGTGTACCTAGCAACAGCGAAATTATAGTTACATAATCTCATGTATGTACACAAGCTGGTTAATTCATAAAACGTCTCGCTATTTTTAATGCGGCAGCTAATGCGACATAAAAAAACGTAAAACACAAAACCTAAATCTTTACAATAAATAAAGGCTTAATTATAAATGAATGGATTAATCTAGTAGTCTAGTAGTTTTTCGTCGTTAATTAAAAACCAACAGCAAATGATGAATCGGGAATCCTATAGAAATTATATTTTTTTTAAATTTATATTAATTAAAAAAAGACTGACACTGGATGGACAGATTCGCAGCAATGACCCACGGTCCAAATGTCAGAATCACTGAGTCATCCACTATCTTGGTGCCTGCAATAATTTCCTTTGTATACTTTTTTGTCTACCTACAGAAGATCATTCGTCTATGTTATGAAGTTAGCAACACTTTTTACATTCCATTCAAGGTCATTGTGATGAAAGTGACAGGCAGCTTGACGTTTTGATAATTTATAAATAATCATAAATTTCAGTGGTGTATTGTGCAATTCTGCTCAGTGTAATAAAATCGTTAGATTAGTAATCTTCGCTAGTTTTTGGTTGCGGTGTATTATAGCCTGTTCTTACAGTCCAGTAAATATTAAGATATGTAATGAATGAAATATTATATGCTGAGAACACAATAATATTCTGGAATTCGTACTGTCACTATTATTGTTTGATTGCCGATAAATCTAAATAAAAAATAAATTAATAGCGAAAGTTAGTGTAATTGACTAGAAAACTGTATATTAGTGGCACTCTTAGATATACTTTCGGTTATTTTTGTTCTCGTATCGGGTGAATTTAAGTTTTTGTAAAAAAATTAATAAGGTAAGGTTCTAATTTTTAATACATGCTATTTTAATATTCAGTTATTTTATTAACCGTTCAAGAAACTAAGCAAATAATTATAGGTTCGATACCTATACTTCCGTGAAATGAGCATCAAGGTAAAATTGCGGACTCTAAACATGTGTAAGTTTAGATTTTCGCTTTAGCCTGAAGGTAAAGTTTGACTAAAACCAAGGCTAATGTTACATTTTTACACTCCCTCCAAAGCTATGCTTTATTTTGTATAGTTAAAATACTGGTACATTATTTAGAAACGAAAAAAATGTAAACATTGATGCTTTTATTTATAAACATCATTAAAAAAGTATGTTTGTTTCATAACAAACCATTGTAAATTTATGATGAAAATGTATGAAATGTAAACACAGATTTCCTTATTACTCTATATTATGCAAATTAATAAATTTTTGTGAAAACGTTTCCTTTGAAATCAATTTGGATTGATTTTTCAAAACAATTTAACAATCTTTTCTTTTAATGATTGATTTATTAAAAAAAATGTAAATATTTGAAAAATACCTACTTACATCATAGGTACAGGATGGCGCCGGAAACCGCCAATGACTCATTATCATTAGTGGTAGTGATAAGTGGAACATTTGCAAGAATTTTAATTCAATTTAATGGTGTACCTGTGTTAATTACAATTTAAAAATGGATAGTTAAAAGTCTATATTGAGTATGACCTTTTCAAGAAGTTTGACTGTGTATCTATCTCACCTCTCTCGAATTTATTGAGTTATTAAACCCTTATTTTTTTATTCAATACATCAATTTGTCCACCCAGAAATACAAAACAAAATTTGAATAATGTCACTCATGGTGTTCACCAAGGGTCTGTTCTGTGGCCACTTTTATTTATCTAACACCTAGGTACAGTAGAAATAGCCTTTGTTGTTCCTACTGATCTGTATCTACATCATCAATATGCTAGTAATGATGAAATTATATTCTTGTAGTTTATGGCGCTCGTACTGCGCATATTTGAAAAATTTTAGTTATCAGAGACAATGTCAAATAAAAACACTGAAATGGCTGCCTAAAAGAAAATGTAAACCAACATTCTACCTTGCTTCAAAATGCAGACATTGTATTCATTGCAGTACTGAAATATAAACAATCACACAACAAATGATATACCTATCAAGTTTTTCGACAATAACAAATGGCAAAACAAGCCCATGACATTTGTGGTTTTTAATGCCACTTTTCTAGGAAAGACCGGACTGAAGTAACTCACACTACAACTACTAACTCAGATATTTTATCATGTACATCTTAACATCAACATTTATTTACATTCCCATTTCAGTTACAAATTACAATTTTATAAATAATAAAATAAAAAATCACAATTATTTATGGTGCTGTAGCACAAACAAAGACTTTATACATGTCCTACAGACTAGTAGCATTTAAAATAGGTTATTCGAAGGTCAAAAAAGATAAAATACACAGTAAAATATAAGCATTAAAGCTCAGTATTAAGTAATTGAGTTTTGAATGCTAAAAAGGGAATACTGAACAGCCTGAGATTATAGTGCAAATTAAGCATCCTTGGAATGATAGATAGATGGATATTTATTGATGTAAAATAAAAATAAATATTTTACATGTGTCAATGTTAAAAGTATAAAAAAAAGATATATAGGTATAGATACGCATACACATAACATATTAAAACTTACTTTAAAAAAAAGATAAAAAAAAATACGTGGCACTCGGGGACTGCCGCGGTAAAGCTATTGCATAGCATTTTTTATCAACTTATGCAATTATAATTCAAACGAATAAACACAAAATCTAATTATAATTATTTATTTATTTTATTTATGCAGTATTTTTTTTCTTTGATATTAATTCAAGTTACACTTTTTGAGGGTAGTGACCAATAAGAAAACAATTTTTTTTTCTTTTATTGAATAAATGAGAAGTTAATATTGTTTAAAATATTTTTATTATCTTACAATACATGTAGGTTATTCAGGAATTTTTATCATTGAAATTATAGGTTTATGGTAACTGAAATAAGAAACATAAGTTTGAGACTTGATATCCTCTAAATATCTGGAAAATACCGCGTCAATGGTGGTCCCATATTTTGTTGTGGATTCTTGAGGATCATTATTCATTTTCAAATTCAATTTTTCCGAAATTGTGTCTAAAAGAGATAGAATCAGTTATGAGCAGTTAGCAGCTAGTCTACATGCATACGTCTAGTCGCACGCACACAAACACCGTGCCGAAGTCTGCCGAACTGAAACGACGTCAGACGATGCACGGCTTTCAACGCCGCACCGCTGTGTCGGTCGGAGTGGGGGGTGTTAGGTTTATTTTCGTTACATAATTTCTTTTTAAGCTATTGCATAGCTTTTATCGCGGGCTTTGAGCGCGGCGACCGAATCAAGAAATTCCGTAACGAAAATAAACCTAATACCCTCAAAAAACCAAAAAATCGAAAAATCAAAAAATCGAAAAATTTAAAATTGAAAAATCGAAAAATTGAAAAATCGAAAAAATCGAAAAATCAAAAATTCAAAAAATCGAAATATCGAAAAATCGAAAAATCGAAAAATCGAAAAATCGAAAAATCGAAAAATCGAAAAATCGAAAAATCGAAAAATCGAAAAATCGAAAAATCGAAAAATCGAAAAATCGAAAAATCGAAAAATCGAAAAATCGAAAAATCGAAAAATCGAAAAATCGAAAAATCGAAAAATCGAAAAATCGAAAAATCGAAAAATCGAAAAATCGAAAAATCGAAAAATCGAAAAATCGAAAAATCAAAAAATCGAAAAATCGAAAAATCTAAAAATCGGAAAATCGAAAAAAATACTTGTGGCCCGAGTGCCGCGGTTAAGCTATTGCATAGCATTTTTTATCAGTCACCACGCTCAAAAAGTGTAACTTGAATTAATATCAAAGAAACAACTTGAATTAATATAAAAAAAAATACTGCATTAATAAAATAAATAAATAATTATATTGCATAAAGTTGATAAAAAATGCTATGCATTAGCTTAACCGCGGCAGTCCCCGAGTGCCACAAGTATTTTTTTCGATTTTTTATTTTTCGATTTTTCGATTTTTTAGATTTTTAGATTTTTTTGATTTTTTAATTTTTCGATTTTTTGATTTTTCGACTTTTCGTTTTTTCGAGGGTGTTAGGTTTATTTTCGTTACGGAATTTCTTGATTCGGTCGCCGCGCTCAAAGCCCGCGATAAAAGCTACGCAATAGCTTAAAATTAAAAAAAGGTATATTTACCAAAAAGGTTTACACATTACTCACATGCACAGATGGACACATGTGATAAGAATTCGTCAATGGAATAAAAGCAGTGACTCTACAAAAATTTGCGAATTCTTATTTTAAATAAATTAAAAGATGAGTTTTTATAAGCTTGAGGTAGGTAATCATGAATTTTGGTTAATCTGTAATTAGGTAAAGATATATCATAATTTCCTCTGGTGCAATATGAATGTTTAGAGCTCTGTCTTATAACATTATTATTACCAATTTGTTTTTTCATGTATAAAAGACACTCTAAAGTAAAACAACATGGTATAGGACGATATTTGTAATTTAAAAATATCTATTATAAACTTGGGCGGTGATATTTACTTAGTTATTTAATTAATGTCAGGAAAAACTAGAAATTAATTTAATAAACGATTTAATAACTTTAAATTGAAAGGTAAAATTTAGAACAAAACAAGTATTAAAAATTAAAAAAAACCGACTTCAAAAACGTGCAGATGCCGTCACCATATCTTAACCAAATTTATGTGGGACCACCCCTGAGGTATCCCATAACTAACAAAAACAGAATCATATAAATCGGACAAGGTGGTAAAGCATTATCGCTAAACATACATAAAAAATTCGAGTTTAAGGATTTTCTCATGGATTCAATTATTAGATTTTGACCAAATTTATATGGGACCACCACTGAAGTACCCCCTTTCTAACAGAAAAAGAATCATTGAAATCGGACACCGTGTTAAAGAATTATCGCTGAACATACATAAAAGAAAAAAAAATATCGCGACGAATTGAGAACCTTCTCCTTTTTTGAAGTCGGTTAATAAAATTAAAGAGAAATAAGTATTGAATGATTAAAAACAATAAAACGTAAATAAAATATTAGTAACATAAAATAGATAAATTACTTAATTAATGAAATGGCGTACCTGAAATAAAAGAAAAACAAGTATGAGCAATCAAGTTTACCAAAAGCGGCTTTATATTAAAGAAAGTCATGGAAAGGTGATATCCATAAACAAACTCTTTACGTCAAAATATTGATTATATAAAAAAAATATAATTGGCACAATTTCAAATTTTCCATAATTGACAAAAAGTTATATTCTCAATTCTGTTGGCACTGACCGCAATGCTCCAAACATCGATCGATATATAAAACAAGCCATTACTAGCACACTGACCGCAATGTCACTAGCCCGCACCAACCATGGTGCGACGATTCTGGAAAACTGACCACAGTAATCCCAAAATAAACACATACACTGACCGCAATGTACTATGCCTGTTCGAGAATGGATTTATTTTCTTTATTAATTTCTTAATTTAAATTCGCGTTATCTATTTTGACACTTTGCCCCACCTAAACGGTTCATGCTTTGGACCTTTTCGAAGAACCAAGAGATATCGATGTATCGCCAACGCAGTAACAAGTCTGTTCGCCACCGCTTAATTTTTGTGCCTTCGCTTTATGTGTGCCGCTCGCCGACCAGTCCAATATTCCAAAAGGTAAGGTGTCAAATACGTTTATTAATTTATTTAGTTTGATTATTTGAATCAGCCCTTTTTGGCAGCATAACAACCGTTCTGTTTCAATGCCAGAACAGACAATCTAACTCACTTTACTTTTGATTACACGTCGTAGAGGAAAACAAAATATAAGTAAATAGTCATTCAAATAAGTTTTAATTATTTAATATAACCCCGTTAATTTTA